AAGAAAGACAAACCAATAGCCTGGTACTTTGCGGTCACGCAAATAAGCTACATAACTCATGCCAACAATTATAAATCCATAGATGACAACCGAAAAGAAAAAATTGTTTGTTTTCTGAGAGTTTTCATTCAAAGTTGGATAAAGGATGTAGAGTGCTATGGCGAAGTAAGCCAAAAAAGGAATGAATGAGATGAATGTCATCGATGAAGCTGCATGTCGTCGCTGTTCATCTTGAGCAAAAAACGAAATAATATAAGCTATGTGAACAAGCAAAAAGACTACCAAACCCGGAATGAAGACGTCATCACGGATTTCTATGAATAGTATGTCACCGACACAGGAAAGAATGAGTGCCATTATCCAACAGATGCGTTCAATGAGTAAAGCCATTTGTGCATTGAACAAAAATAGGACCAAGAGAACAGGCATAAGCAACGGTTTCACTGGTGCAATGATGGCATAATTTCGATTTGTTTCGCCGTAAAGTTCAATGATAAGTAGGACGAAAAACAATGTAGTTAATGTTGCAAAAAAGCGCATCGTTTGTTTTTTCTTTGAATAAAGTGATACTCGTATTCTATTCAAACGCAACAAAATATCTTTTGTTAATATCGATAAGAAATCTAGGTAAAGCCTTATGTTTGAAGAAGAGGGCAAAGGAGAATTACATATGTTACTTAAACCTTGAAAAGATGTCATGCACATGCAAGAAAAGAATATTCTCCTTCTCTACAATAGATCTTTCTGTAATTTAAATGAAAACCAGTAGCCATCTACCAAAGAAACTGAATAGTTAATCGACAAATGTTATTTATAATAATAATTCAATCTCTACACTTCTTATTACGTTTGAGATAGGTTTTACTACTGGTATTATCTCAAAAAAAAACTTCTGAATTAGGTCCATGCAAAAAATGACATCACAAACAGTCGAACATTCAGATAAAAAGACGAAATCTAACGTATATCTACATTGTTCCTGACCTATTAGTACAGAATACTATTAATTTGAAGAATAATTCTGAGAGAATACTTGTCTGATATTGGACAGTTGTCAATACGCAATATTGAGACTGTTATTTGTATTATCTTTATGATTTTGACCTCTTTATGCTATCGAATTTATGAATATAAATTTGAAACTTTCCATATATTGATCCTATATCCTCAATGAATTCATTCGAATTATTTCTAATTCATTCGTCTAAGTAGAAGAACATGTCATGATGCGATATACTGGCAAATCATTACAGTTATGATCGTCCTCTCTTGACAGATAAATTTTGACTAACAATATTTTCAATATTACTCATCAATAATGTATTGTTTTAAATTATTATTCTAGTGAATATAGAGTTTATTGTTGTAAGAAATATACAGTTAGTAATAAATATTCTGTAAAAGATGAATATTACTCAAAATTGTTAATTAAGAAGTGCAAGATATTCTCATAGAATATTCGAATATCTCATGTGATGTTTTTCATTGATTAGAAATGAATCTATGAATCATTAATAGTATATTCTTCTATTCTCTTCAGAACAAAAGGTTCGAACTTTGTAGCAGAAATCAATATCTATTTGTTTCTTACCGATTAATTCGTTAACGAAAAAATTTAAATAAAAAAGCGAAATACTAGGTTCTCCCCGTATAAACTAAAATGTATGAACAACTCAACTAACGATTGTACTATTTAATATATTTCTACATTGTGTTTTTTGACCTTGTTCTTCATGTTGCATATATGACTCACTGTATTACCAATAGTAATCACAGCAAAGAAAGAAAGCTATGATATGGCTGTCACTATCATCGTTATTAAGTTCTCAAAGAAACTTGCTATTTATGACAATCAGAAAATGTATCTTAATTTAGTTTCCTTTATATAGAAGAAAAATCTTGTGAAATGTTGTTAATAAAACGCTGCAGAAAAAGAACCATCGGTGTAAATTGGAGAACCTACTCGATTGTGGAGCAGCTGGTTAGGCAATAGTCATGAAATAGTTTTTTCTCGTATATAAAACTCTCACAAATCATAGGAAAACCTTCTCTTGTAATGAGTCGGTCGCCACTCAGGTCTTTATTCATATGCCTTCTTTTCGATATTACATACTAAGAGAATGCGATAGCTATTACTTTAATTTAATTACTACTATCATGCAAGAAAATAACAATACCCGTTTTTGCAAGTGATTTTACTCCTCTTCTCGATTCATCACTTTTCAGAATACTCAAATCATCCTATATAAAAAAAATCTACATTTCACAGATTCGTCCACATTATTTATACATCTAAAATATTATGATGGAGGTGATCCAAGTTCACTTGAATCGTACAACGATGCTGATACTCTCCTCGACAATGAATTGATAAAGTAAGAGAGACGCTTGACTCTCTGCACTTGATCTCCTATGTCGATTGTTTGGGTCTGGATGTAGGTGCAGTGAGAATGAAGTACACTCACACATACCCACACCTATTGGTTACCATTTTCAACATATAGACACCAGAGCTAGAACAGAAGTACTTTTACTTGTTTTTGAACAGAAGTAATGATGGTACTATTGTATGCATTCAGTATAGTCTGAACGATTGCTGTTTCTGCAATGCAAGTTATTTATCTTGGCAAACCAGTCAGAAGCAATTTAAAACTAATGTCCGCGCCAGAATTAAAGAGGGGTAAGTGTAAACGTAATAACTCGATAACGGTAACAGCTAGCGAGCTGCAGTTTTCACCAATTGAAAAAGGAGCAGTCCGGACGTCTTTTTCTTCAATCATGCGCAAGAAGAAATACTTTTAAAACTAATTCTTTTCGAAAAACATGCAAAAGAAGGCATGAAAATGGCCTGCCAACTAGATGAAATTTTGATTTTAATCTTTGATTTAGATAGATAGACTTGAAATCTATAGTTCAAGATATAAGACAAATGATTCTCTTATTACATGATGATGTTGAGCAAATGGAATCATGTAATTACATGCAAAAATAATAGAAAAATTTCCTGATTTTTTTACTAGGTTTTCGCACTTTATCTTAATAGCTTGACATTTCGACGAAAATGTAAGGAAAAATAAGGAAGCTCATTGTGTCTTAAACTATAGATCTCAAATCTCTCTATCTAAATCAAAGATCAAAATCAAAATTTAATCTAGTTGGCAGGCCACTATCATGCATTCGTTTGCATGTTTTCCGAAAAGAATTAGTTTTAAAAGTAGTTCGTCTTGTGCATTATCGGAGAAAAAGACGTCCGATCTGCTCCTTTTTCAATTGGTGAAAACCGCAGGTCACTAGCTGTTACCATAATCGAGTTATTGCGTTTACACTCACTCCTCTTTAATTCCGGCGCGGACATTGGAATCACCTCTAAGAATACGATGCTAGTCAAATATTACACAATGTAGATAAATAATGACCTGAAATTATTAAGTTTAGTGTTTGCAATCATTTTTCGAAAATAGCTATGCATTCTTCGTTGTTCTTGTGAGCAAAAACAGTGTTGTATATTGCTTGACTAGATGAAATTTTTTCTTATGGTTCAAATTTTCTTAAAAGTACTTTCATTCGAATTTGTACCGCTTACCGAATATACTGGTGAATGTGATTCATCGTCAAACAGAGCATCGTGCAAGCATAATGATAGATAGATCACTGCCTTAAATTCCATTTTGAAGACAATATTTTGATTTCAATTTCTATTGACAACTAGGCTACATCATTCACATCGATATGATCGACATAAAAGCTTACAGTTCTATGTGAAAACCATTTATAATATTTTACGTATATCGATGTGAACGTGAATTAATGATGTGAAAGGAGATTCACATTCATATACTCAACATCCACTCTCAGACAAAAGTTTGATGTCTCATGAATGCATAACAATCTCAAAAATGAAATCTAGTGACTCGTAAAATCCATGTGAACGCTGTAGCAGCACTTTGACAATGTCAAAGTTTTGTTCAGTGGCGTCATACTCATCAAAAACGGCTGTTGGCAAAGATTTCGAAGTTTTGCATGTACACTCTTCAAGGCAAATATATAGATAAAAAAAATTCTTTCGGTTGACTCCGTAGCTCGTTGATCATGTTTTCGGTGATCTTCTCTTAGACAGTTATCTAAAATTTAGTTTTTTCACTAAGGCATTTGTCAAAAATACAGCTTGAAAAGTTGTGATTCGTAGAGTCGATGATTGAGGCTGTTCCGCTTTATCTTCTTATCTTTTGCTCCCACTGTACGCCTTTTATCGCTCAAAAAGTAAAAAGTCGATATCACAATACAAAATGCTTGATTAAATCCATTAAGACTAGCAATGGTAGATTGAGATAAGAGGAAAACAAGGGAAGAAAAGGGTAAATAATGGCTTTTTTTCTGTCTCATCAAGAATGCGAAAACAGCATTTCGCTAGGGTACTAATCAAAGAAAGTAAGCAATCCATCCATCTGGTATGCAAAAGAAACGTGAAGACGTATGAAATATCCTGCAACAAATGTTTGCATTATCCATCAATACTGCACGTTTGAAGTACTGGTGGACAATTTTTTAAAATCTCTTCATATTTACTCAGTTCAAAAACCTCCCAATCGGATTCTATCAAAACTGCTTCAATCCGATTATTTCCGATCACCGAATCCTGCCGGAGTTCGATCGGTTCATCGAATTCGATAAAGTTAATGCGATATTCATTTATTTTAACTATAATATAAAATTTTGTCTGTGGTAATAATAATCAACGATTCTATACATCATAAATGGTGTGAGTGTCGGTGAGATGGTTATTGCACGTTTTATTTTAATCTGTAACAGCAACATATTTGTTGAATAGTCGACAAGAAAAGAAAGAAAATAAGATTTCTTTATTATAATTTCTCTTGAAATAAATTAATGAAAAGTTTAAAAGAAAATGTGAAAGACACCAATATGAATGTATGAGATGTAATATTGTCAATAAATGTACTGAAATGATTGATAATAATATATCATTGCAAGATTCAGCCTTAATTTCGTAAACGAATCATCTTATAGTTTCCGATGTCCTAAATATTAAAGAAAAAAGTAGCATCAACAAACTTTGAATACGTTTTAAAATAAAACTTACAATAAGAAAAAGAGCAGCAAGTATAAGTATTTTCATTTTAGTATCAAGATTCAATGGAACTAATAAAAGATATACAAAAATAACCCATGGCTACAATCTTGTTTTTTTTCCTAGATGAATAACTAGAAGCAATTATGTTTCTACTTACAATTGACTGTAAAGGCGATAGGATTTGCTGAAGTGACTTGCATACTCTCCGGATATTTCTTATTAATAGCCCCAATTTCTGTTATTCGATCAGTACCCAATAACTACAAAATATATACGAAACAAAAATTTATTTATTTATGACAAATTCACAAATTGTTTTCTTCAATTCAAATATCTAATAAAAAAAAACTAATCTTCATTATGATTGATATTCATCTTGTCAAACAATGATTATCTATGGAATCTCTTTAAGTAGAAATAGTTTAAATGAAGTCATACTTACTGTATATTTATTTTCACAACCACAAGAATAAGCCCCGTTACAAATACAGCATGGCCCCATTATAGTTAACATCGATGTATTATTTACATCTTTAATAACATAATGCATACCAGAAAAACTGCCTCTAAAATAAGAACAAAATCGATAATAGAACTAGAGTTGTCAATTTAATAATGTTAGTACTCTTGTTGAACAGTGCCGATAATTTGTCCTGGTGGACACTCAACGGTAACTTGTTGCATACAACTTTCACAACTACCACAACAGCAACATCCTGAACAAGTTTGTAATTCACGATGAACTCGAATAAATTCCTAAAAGTAAAATAAAGATGTTTTTAAAAAACAAAAAAAAAATGATCTATAATTTCAACTTGCTCGACTATAATTGTCAAGAACATGCATAGTAAATTCTCGCTCATTTGTACAACAAATACGTTGAAATAAGTCTGATTCTTGTTTAACATAAAACAAATAGATATTATTCAATGTATGATTCATTTAATTCTGTGGGATCCATAGTAGCAAAAAAACTACACATATTTTATAGCCATTTCTTACAACATAATCTATTAAAATGAGCACCTAATCTGTTGAAATTAAGCGATCAAAAATGCTCTAGAACCTTCTCCAACTATCTGTAAAGGAGATATATAAATATAGTCATTCATGTATTTCTATCTAAAATGAGCTAATCCAATAGTCTACTTGAATTGAATTCCACCAGAAATAATTTGAAACTGACAAGATTTATGTACCTTCAAATGCAGAAAATATTTGTTCGCCTTGATTGTTAAAAATTCCATATTTTGGTCGCATTGGAAGGTTAGTCAATACTAAAAACAGAAAAAAATATTTTCTAAGATATTTAACAAAAAAAAACATAAATCCAGTCATAGTTCTAGTCCTAACCTGTCTTCAAAGAAAATCCATGATTGATCAATAATGAATCAACTGATTTCAAATGTTCAATAACATCAACATCGGCTCTTGGTATTGATGTCCATGATATTGGCTCTTGCATCATTCGAGACATTATTTTCTTTTTTATGAAACTATCTTAAATGGAAATCATATCATCATGCTCAATAACAAATTTATTCTTCTAATATTTTGCTTTATTTTAAAATAATATATTTAACTTATCCATATAAATTCATAGAATTCAATATAATATTTATAATGGACGCTCAGATCGACTCATTTATTGAATTTTTATATACTATTTGAAAGAATAATAATTGTAAAAGTATATTGTATTAGCAGTTCGTTTTATTATTGCTAATTATTCATATTCTAACAATACGGTCGTAGATATAAATTAAAAAAAAAAAAGAATCAATTTGTGATACTTTGAGTCCAAAAGAGCATATACTGTCGGGTTACCAGTACCTAGAAAAAATCTTCTTACTCATAACCAATAGCAAAAATAACATAAATTACACTGCGTAGTCATTGCCATCGTCCTATTTATTCTTTTCTCTTTTTAATGTTCTGTGTTTTTATTTGCTTGACGTAGAGGACGAGTGTAAAAAAACTAACCAGATTCTCTTTTATTTGACAGGAAAAGAAAAATGTTAGGCAAAAAAATCACTAACTAATACCAAGCATGAAATAAGCTGACGTCAGCAACACAAGCAGAGACAACATGAAAGGTTCTTTTTTCTCTTGGTCACTATCCACGTCTTTTCTTTGAAAAAAAGAAATAAGTCCAAAGAAATTTCTCGGTTTTGGCTATAAATTAGTGTTTAAATAGTTCTAGTCAATAATGCATCGGAATCAGTATCATGATGTTATGTTAATAGCAACATACCTCAGGTTTTTAATAAAAACGTCACTAATAGTGAATCACATCATTTAGACGTCAGAAAATAAAAATAAAAAAAGAAATAAATTTATGTCAGTATTAGGTTGAATTTTGTCATTCATTTTTTTCATGACAGACAAGTTATTCGTAGCCACTAGAAATACTAAAAAACCTCATATAAGGTGTGGAATCTATTATGTGATACAGTCAAAATTAGGTTTTTACTCTCTACCATGAGTGTCTCACTCATCTTATCTACCATTCAAAAAACCATTTAGACAAGCTATCTCGGATCAGCGGACGATTGAATAATTTGAATTTCAAAATAAGTAGAAATATATGTTTAGTTTGTATTGATGTGTCTTTCTACTATAAGGTATGTGTATACACTGAATAAAAAATAGCTTCAAATTACACAGAGAAAAAAATACAGTAAAGGTTCTTGCTTGAAAAAAAAACAAACCGTGAAAACGTTTTTCTTTCAAGTCAATCATTACATTCGATAGTAGCACTGATCGTTGAATTTATGAAGTAATTGATGAATAAGAAAAGCAAGTACATATTGAACGTTACGTTGATGATAAAGATCAATATTAAGTTCGAAGTTTGTGTAATAAACAATCTCATAATTAATATTATTAGTCAATGTTTTCTATTTTTATTCTTTGATGAATTCATATATGGTAACGTTAAAGCTCGACGTTGATACAAATGAATGCGATGAGAAAAAGAGAAGAAAAGTGCCAAGGAAATGAAGTTTTTGATACTTTAATTGTACTTCTTTTTATACTTTGATATTAACTAAAAGAAGAATATGTGATCATTTGAACAAGAAAGACACAATGTGCAATGATGCCACTAGGAATTCTAAAATGAAAAAGCATTTATTGATGATCTACAGAATGAAAACAAATATAAAAAAAAACAGTTTTTTAAGATATTGCTTAGTTTTGTTTTGTGTAAAGGTAGAAAATGAAAAGAAAGAAAATATGATCCATAAACAGTTGCTTTCATGGTGCATTTGCATTGAAGATGAAAAGTATGCAATGGCCAGATTGTTAGCACGATATTTCTGCAACTCGTGCTCTTGCAGATGTTTTCTTGAAGAGTTTTTCTCATTTTCGATTGATGACTAAGTCAAAGTATGTACATATCATATGACATATCAATGATCAACCTTCTTTGCTTTTTTTTCTCTTCAAGCGAGGAAGAAAAGGAACGATGAGAAAAATCGTCACTTCTTTCAAGCAGATAACAATGCAAAAAGTAGGAAGAAAAGAAGACATTTGATTGTTTCAGCACACGACAAAATATGACCTTCCCTTATGCAAACTAAACCAAATCGATCATTATTAATACAGTGATGGATGAGAGATTCGAAGAAATTTATAGACCTGATGATTATGCAATTCGACTAGTGGACGACAGTCGAACGTGCGAAAAGATTAAAGCTGGATCCTTTGGATGTGCTCTAGGTCATCACTCATATTCGTCTGGCATTCATCGTATTCCAATCAGAATTGATTATGGCAGAGCATTTTTAGGCATTCGCTCACGAAATACACAACCAGTGTCGGATGAATTTGCTTGGGGTCGCTATGATTGTAGTCCTTCTACGTACGGTTGGATTCGAGATTGTGGACGCATTTGCAATGGACACTATATAGATCTTGGTATGAAAAAAATTGAAAGAGACAATCATGTATTTGTGTTGACGTTGAATTGTAATGAACATCGATTGAGCATCCTGAATGAAAACACTAAAGAACAAGACGAAATGAAGGTAGATATTATCTATGCTCCGTTACCTTGGTGTCTCTTCGTTCAACTTCCTCGGATGCGAGGTCGCCTATCGCTAGTACAACCAGGTCTTCCACGTGCCAGACCAATCTCTGATGAAACATCATCACTAGCTTCAACAAAGACACATTCGGGTATTGTAGCATCTAGTATTCGACTTTATTTCAAGTATAGTCTGTTTAAAAAAAGAATGACCGTAGCCATTTTTGCAATAATTCAAGAACGGAAAGAGATAGAGAGCTGCGGCTTTCACCAGTTGAGCGAATACAGAATCGAAATAGTCTTTTAGTTCAATAATAAAATTCTGATTGTGCAAAAAGAGATATCTTGCAAAATCGGTTTCCTTTCCACGTCGCAGAAATTATTTTTTCAATCTAGTAGTGATCATGAATCGTGTCCAAAGTATGAAAAGCTGACTACTACTGTCTGAAATGATGACATAAACCTAGCTCGTCATTCATTAGATTCAAACGTCTATTGAGTTCTCGAAGTATGATTCAATCAGATTTTCACTGTCTTTATAAGTATTTCCTCAAATAGATTCTTGGTAGATCGTCGTTTTCAGCAACATCCTAAGACAACAATCATACTATCAATTCAAAATGGCCAGAAGCATTGTGTATTTTGTCTTATATAAATGTTGGGTTATCTTCCGTCTCAAACGAAAGTTCATCATCGATACAGAAAGAAGTTAAAGCTCTAACGTGTAACGGTACTACATGTTCTCATTGTGGTAAATGTCGTGAATGGTATTAGGATGGTGATATTGACCGTGATTCCGAGCGTTTCAAACATTCCGAATCTTACGATATAATTGATGAAAAACGTTGGCATCGTCATCCAAATGGAACATGCCGTCATTTTTATTTACATCATCATGGTTCTCTTGGTAAATATCATGGACTTGATATTTGTCGTTGTCCATGATGTGACACTCATTTGATGTTCTCAACATTTTTTTTTTGAAAGTTATAATTATTAATCTTGAAAATAAGGTGAGCAACAATCAAACTTGAATTTCCTATGTTGTTTTGCTGATGATCTTTTTCTTGCTGAACGATTTTTCTAATTTACAAAGACGAATATTGTCCACTAACTATTCGCGGTCTTAGATCTCCGTAAAACAACATTGATTATGCATGACCTAGTTATTGTAATTGATCGAATCATTCTTGTTTGATGTTACTATTAGATAGATCTTATCATCACAGTTGATTTGTTTTCAAAAAAACAAGACACGATACGAACAAAATTAAAAAATACAATGAATGTAAAAATATTTTTACAATATTCCAAAATCTCAAAGAATGGACATACTTTTTCTATGATAGAATCGTTGCACATGATGGAGAGAACAATTTGATATCTCTGAGAATTTATTCAACATTCTACACAAAATTCTTTGAATCAAACGGATAAACTTTCCTGAGTGTGGGTATGGATACGAATCTTCTCTGAATCAACATCCACGCACGCATACACTCTAGTAAATTTTAAACATGTCTGATAGATTTCTTATGCAAGAACGAAATATCTTGTTATGTTTGGAGTAGTTTACCAAATATTCTATGATCGACAACAAAACAATTTATTGTACAAGCATGATATTCTAGCTAATTGATTTGTGTGCTTGACTTTTTCCTCGAACTTCTATGTAATCTAAGTTAGCTATGTAAACGATTCTCATTTGTCAACATTGAAACACCGATGATGCGTCATTATATCTTTCTATTTTTCTTTCCCTTCATACTTCACTTTCAAAATGCATCAAGATAGGAAAAACAACGTCTAAATGATATGGTTATCCTATGATATCGAAATGCATTCATATTATTGCACAAGGATATTGTGAACAAAATTGATCAATATCGATTTGGAACGCACTCGTCGTATGCTGTTCAATATCTATCATGATCTACACTGTACAATTGAACAAATATTAGTCAATCTGAAGGAAACGACATTAATCGACGACGATCTTATTCGCCGGATCGATGCTGCAATCGATCAATTAACTTCCTCTATGGTAACATTCGAAACTGAAATAAAAACAAACGAAAAAATTGTGCACGAATTGAATATGACTGTTGAAAATTCTCGACAAGAAGTTGAACTTGCACGAAATGAAGTGAACAAGGCTGACAAAATGTTTTTAGGACATGATACATCATGAGATGGAAAAATCTATCGCTGCATGTAAGTACTCTTGAAAATTTTGAAAATATCATTGTTTGTACTGGTTAATGAAGATTTTTTCAGATTATGATTTTCATCAAAAAAAAACAATATACTCATTAGTTCTTATAATCGTTTCGTTCATGGTGATTGTTTTTGTCCAAATGATCGATATGATCACATGTGTCATGTTCATGCCTAGAGACGCTCACCATCATATCTTTCTATTAGAAATGCGCAGTACATGACCGAATTGCATTTTTCATGGTATGAAGCTCAACTGAACGAGAGCATAAAACAATAAAGTTCAGTTCAATCAGAACTAATTAAGAATCAAGCGCAATTAGCAGAGCTTAAGAAGATTTCAAATCACTTGACGCTCATCTCGATGGATTTTCTATTTCAAAGCTCAACTTCTATACTAAACTCATCAGTTCAAGAGTCATCATTGAACCATTCAGTACTATCCTTGAAAGGTTCTTGCATAAGCAAATGATAGAGCTAACTTCATCAGAAATTTCATATCAAAATATGAGCATAATCAATCAAAATTTAGTATTACTAGCCAAGAAACTTCTTAAACTGAGCCGTTATCGAAAAAAGCCCGGGCAATCTTGTAAACATACGTGAAAATTGCTGTGATGTAATTTTAATACAATCAATCTTGGAAAGGTCTTTTTTAGTACACCCAATCCTGTCAAATCTCATTCAGAAAAGCAATCGTGCAATGATACAGATGCGTCTCGTTCTCGACGTGCTTTGCCAAGTCAAGAAAGAATTTTTTTCTTATATGCATGTAATCAAGCGTACTCATATGTACTTCTAGAGCAGATCATGGAATGGCTAAAAGACTTCGACATTTGGATTGGACATCTAAATGTCAACCATTAGAATGATTAAGGAAGATGAAAAAAGGGACTTGATGTAATCAGTCCTTTCAAAGTTGTCATTTATTTAAACCTTGATCTTCACCATGAGGCACTACAATAACTTATTTATGCACATATTCACAAAAAATTCGAATAAAATTATCGAAACACAACAATAAATAAACGCCTTATGTACATAGATTGTCGCAATTACTATTATCAGTATTGAACCATAGGTATTCAATGATTCCAAATCATTGCCAGCAATGAGTACTGCTCAATATAAAATACAATCTGCAAAATACAATTGTTGAGCCTTTCTACTTTGAGAATGTATCAATCGAGAAAAAACTTGATATATTACTTTCGAAAAAACAGTAGCGACAATCAATTGAATGATTCAAAGACGACTCGAATCTTAAGGGTGTGAATATGGTTGAATAGAATACTTGCATCCACACTCTCACGCCCACATCCATTGACTTTGTTCAATTATGTACTATCTGCTGAATCTTTAGATTGTTTTTATTTTGTTCAATAAAAACAATCATGTACAATCTCTTCTGTTAATTAACATTTTCTCTAGTGACATACAAAAACAGCAAAGACGTAATTATCTATATTTCGATCAAATACTATATAGAATACAGTTAGACTTACAAAAGAAAACACTTTCTTTAAATCAATTTGACAATAGAAACGAATGTATGTAAAGGAATAATAATATTAATAAATAATCATCAAATCAATGAATTTCATTTTCAATTATTCAATAATCAATGCATATAAATGTTCATCAATATCTTGTCCATTTTTATATGCATATTTATGTAATACTCCTTCAAATACGAAACCACATTTTTCTGCAACTCGCATTGATGCTTTATTCCATGGAAATATATTTGCTTCAATTCGAACTAAATTTTTCCATTCATTTTTTATTATTTCAATTACTTTTTTTACAACTTTAGGCATTAAACCACGATGCCAATATGGTTCACCTAACCAATATCCAATTTGTGTTCGTCTTTCATTTTCAACTGAACGACGAAGAACACATCCACCTATCAATTCATTGCTTGTTCGTAAACGAATATTAAAAACACGTGTTAAATTTAATGAGTCTGATTTTACTTTTTGAATAAAATCTTCACCATCCTTTGTTGTATATGGATATGGTATTGTTAATGAATTAGCTTGTAATATTGGGTTGTTAAAATATTTAACAAATGAAGGAATATCTTCATTTGTTAATAGATCATTTATATATATATCATCATCAATATCATAACGATTTGATGCCATTATATTCTGAAAAAAAAACAAAGACAAACGTTTCTTTATTTGCTCGGTTACATCAAAATACAAAACGCGAGTTTATTTATTTATGATATGAAAAGAAGACAAACAAAATAATGAAATGTTACATAGATGTTTTTTTTTACATATTTCTTCAGCTTTTCTGTCATTAGTTTAATGTGATAACAGTTTTAAAGCAAATTCAATTGCTGTTGCCGGTCCTTTACTCGTTATTAAATGATAACTATTAATTTCACCACAAACAACAAGTGTATTGAATTTAATTGATTTAAATTTATTTTTAAATGAATTTGTTGTTTCAAGATAACATTTACGTGCATTTTCATCAGCATTATATAAATGAATTCTTAATATTATTGAACCAGCAAGTAAAGTTGTGACCAATTTGTTTGTTTGGTAATGATCAACAAAAATAACATCTCCTTTTTTTTTACATAACTTTATCTTTATTTTACTTTTATCAGCCACATAATAAAAAAACAAAGTCTAGTATTTTATTATTTCTAAGTTATATAGATTATATATACCACCAGATGTAATAACAGCATTCAAATGTGTCCTTGAATATCGTCTATGTAAATCAGGTATTATTTGAATGTTATTAGCATATATTATTGATTTTCTATCATTTTTTCAACACTACATAATTTTAAGTTAATACCACCTCATAGTAATACATCGGCAGTAGCCACTTCTTCAGTATCTTCTGATTCATGACAATGGGTGTAGGTGTGAGTGAGTATCGAAGAAGAGAAGATTCATCCTCATATAAATTGAACATGATTATTCCATCGGAGTTTTGTGCATCTAATGATATATGAGAAATGAAAGTGTTTATTTTAGGAGTGCACATTTTTACTTTCAAATATTTCTAATTTTGAATGATTTTAAAAACTTATTGAGAGATGATAGATCTTCATTTATATAATATAGAACATTCAATGAGATACGAGTAAAAAAAAAGAATTTGTTCTCTGATATATTGGTTTCAAAGTTGAGAACAACCCATTCGAAGTTGTTCAACGAGAAAAATTGCTTCAAAATATTTAATTGTTGTTCGTTTGTTAAGTTCCTAAATTTAATCGAACTTATATGAATCACTGTCTAGGATAATGAATAGAACGTTGCAATATTTCCTTGTCAATTGATTGCTTCATTATTTATTCGTAAATTAAGTGTACGAAGTCTTTTACATTGAATCGAATAATGGTACAAAAAACAACAATGCATTCAATCTAGCCGGATGTATTACATTCAGACAAAGTAATACCATGTATCTTATCAATATAAACTGGAAAAAGATCCATACAAATAGGAAAATCTTTCTTACGGATGTTTATAAAATCAAAATATAGATTTAAACATTAAACAATGAGAGCATCGATTCAACGAGTAGATCGAAACTATTGATATATTTCTTGAAAATTTCGATCATTATTTCATTAGGTAATGATTCAATATTTATAGACGACATATAATAAGTCGAATGGAGATACATTTTTTTGCTTTATAACGTACTGTATGGCTGCTATAAAGGAATGATTTTATTTTTATCATCGTCGTTATAATAGTATGTGTCATCTTCATTCATGCAGAACGATGTTGGAAAATATCAACTATGAAGATATAAAAGAAACAGAAGAAACAAAAGTGATCATTATTGAAAAAAATATAAATGATGTCATTAATAAAAAGCAAATTTGAAGATTTTCCTGTTGAAATTTACTTGGAAATTTTTAAATATTTAAGTGGATTTTATATTTATATTGGTTTTCAAGATCTTAATTCACGTTTTCGTTTATTACTTAGTAATTATTCTTTTTCATTGGATTGCACGAAGAGTCGTTACTTGGTCAGCATATGTTTACAACTTCTTCTTGATATAACACCAAAACCAATTTGTTCATTAAAAATCCAAATTCCTCTCGATTATACTAAAAGACTCTTTCTAGAAGCATATAATCCTCAACAATTTATAAATCTTGAACAATTACAAATATGTATTTCTCCACCATTGATTTCAAAAGATAACATATATATATTACAAGAAATATTAGAAAAATTCTCAGAATTTCCAAAATTATCTCGTCTATCAATAAGAATATCATACGAAATAGGTAATCATGAAGCAGTAAAAAATATTTATAAAATACTATTTAACCTATTACCATTGAAATTAAAATATTTACGATTACAATTAGCCTTACAAGATACAATTCCTATGGTAAATGGATATGAACTATTATCAAATAATAATGATAGATCAACTTTGCTAGATGATAATGATTATGAACGATTGAACAGTCAATCATTGATTATGATTGAATACTTAACAATACTTAATTATTTTGATATCAATAATTTAAAATATATTTTTTTATTAATGCCAAAATTAAAATATTTAAATATAAATTTATATGATAAAAATAATTTTGAAATGCATCGTGATCCATATTATCCAGAAAGGATACATACTAAACCATATAATTTACATGATTTAGAATCAATAATTCCAATAAATTTGAAAACATTGGATATGGCTATTGATGTTAGTATTGATTATAAAGATCTAATTGAATTTTTATTTGAACCTATGAAAAAAGCACAAATTAAATTAAAAAAGGTAATATTACAAATATATCTTTATGATTCCATTGAACAAGCAATGGTTGAACAATTAATACAAACAACATTATCAACAAATTTAATCATGACAGTTAAACGTGTTTATGTTGTTACTAATATTCCGCACGATGAATATATGGGAATGGAATATTATGCTTCGCAAAATTTAGCAAGAGAAATAAAACAATTGATGTCGTATAAATAACTCTTTATTATCGACTTTTAATTTTGATCTATGAACTTTAACTTTTGTCTTTTTACTCGATAACAAACATACACACTTGAAATTATATATTTAGATTCAAACATATCTTTCATGTTGCTTTCTTTTCAATAAACTATTACAGTACGACTTGTTTAGAAGATCATATTTGTCAATACACTATCAAGTAACTAGTTACTGGAAAAATTCTCATTTACGATGACAAATAATAAGAATACTTCTCCACTAACACAATAATCAGTAATGCTACTATATGCTTATTATCTTTTCTATGACTAATTGCCAGCTAATATAACTGTCTAGAAAATGAACTAATTATCTCTAGTGCCGACATTAATGAATCGCTCAAAAGTGTTCACTTAGTCGGATCTTACGATTTCTAGAGCTCTTTGCATTCAAACTTTGCAGACATGTTTTTGAGATAAAATTCCGATGATATTGCTACTGACACAGACCGATAAAAAATAAAACAATGTTTGGCCGCATTGAACGTGAAAAATCAAAAGAAATAGCGCTGTGTTACTCGTTTACTTTTTGTATTAAGAAAAACGATGTTTTAAAAGGTTTTTTTTAGATGTCAACTCCTTGTAATGCGTTCAATAGATAAAATCGATGATTAAGCCAGTTTCCACGCCAAGATTGACCTGTTTTAACGAGTTTAGGTGGAGAAAGTCATAAAAAAAGCTGTAGTCACTTGTTGAAACTCCTTTATGTCATTATTTTACTCAGATAACTTCGTTTTAACGTTATTTTTCTAGGGTAATGCTTTTCGTTTATGTATCATACTTATTTGATACGTGAAAAATCACGAAGAAAAATAATGTAGGAAGTAAACTAGTCAGACATATTCGTAAGTTAATATTTCTCTTCCATTGTGAAGGATATGTATGGTATATTCTAGCTTGTTTTAAAAAACGAATAAAAACGAGCATTCTAATAGATACATTCGAAAGAAAACCAGATAGGCATTGGGATGCAGAACTATTCTTTCTTTACTGTATGATATATGAATTATCATATACCAACAAATAGCATCTAAACGAACGCCAATGTAGCAGAGTGATTGAAATAATTCATTATTTTGTGTAGGCGTTTCAATTTATAATAATTATAGAAAATGTAGATATTTCAATAATCTGTTTCACCAACCACACCCTTTTTTTTGTTGCTCCTAAAGAAACATCTTAGTTTTATTTTTAATTTATCTTATTTTTTTTTTAATAATAGAGATTCTTTAAATTTATTAACTTTTACTTATATTTATTCTTTACTTTAAAAATTAATAAATATAAATGAACAGCCCTAGTCTATACTCTAAAAAATAGGTTTATTACTGAATCCAAAAAGCATTCGACAGAGTCTGCAAAACTTTATTTTTATTTCGGTATGTACATACAAAACCTCAAAGGTTCGTCCCCTGGATACAGGCTATGTAATAAACATATTTTGTTAGAGTGTAGTAGGGTCTTATTTTGATGCATGCATATGCCCAAGATCTGCTCGGCTTTCGGCTGAACACGATTGACTTGGGCTTTTTCATTTGGTTAACATTATTCATACATGGGAAAATTCGATTCAGAGAATATCAGAAAGGAATAGAGTAAATGTTTGTCTGGTGCCCAAAAATAGTTGAAACAATGAAGAACTAAATGCTAATCATTTAGTCACTGTGTCTCTGTGACCATATATCCAAAAAACGTGACAGCTCCTGGACCAGATGCGCTGACAAAGAATGGTCCAGTCACATTTGGATAAAATGTTGTGGCAACCAAAACATAAATAGAGTCAGATTGAAGATAATATTCTAGCTTGAATTGCCCATTATTACCACTTTCATCGTCTTGTAAGAGTAAATTTAAAGATGGAGAGGACGGATCAAAACTTTTATTGTATAAATAGCCATATGTATCGACTTTGCTCTTGCTTGCAAGACTAAAACTACCAGCTGCGTTTACGCGTACCTGAATGGCTTCGTAATAATAGTAATGTGATAATGCACAATTCGTACGGCAATATGATAGACTTTCAGTAGTCCAAGCTGATGAGTACGTTGATTGAACACTCCATGGAGTCACTAGCGAATAAAAGGACAAGCATGAAATTCAATTGAACAGAGCAGAACAGAATTATTCATTCAGAACTCTCTATTCAATTCGTCTTCAAGGGAAGTTTTTCGAGGTTTCCATAAAACTCGATGTCTTAGATTCGCGTTCAACTTTAAGAAACCTATTTTCCAATTCTTTGATCACACCTGAATAGAGTTCAACACAGCCGAGAATGGATGACACATATTATACTATCCTCTTTCTATGCATTATCAAAGCAACTTTGAACTCTGTCAATCATGCAAAGACAATAAAATTAATATATACTGCTATGGTTGCGTAATTATACAGCGCGTAAATTTTTATCTTCAGCTTTCCTGCTTTGGTCTATGCTAGAGGGGCTTTCTCAAGTAGAAATATTCGGCAGTCACTAACAGTTACGTGCTTTGATGATAAAACATTAGCGAAGTAAGGGCTTAGTTCATTAAAATTTCTAGTTATAGTTTCATGCAATTCAGAATTTGTGTGACAATCTAATGACAATGAGTCGATATCGTTCTGGAATGTCTGTTTAATTCTGTTTTAAATTCATTTTAATATCTTAACATATAGCACATTTTTCTTTCTCTTTCAATCACTTTGTCTGTTTAGTAAAGACTAACCAGCGCTAAATACAAATTGCTCACTCTTTCTTCGATGGCAACGTTCAACTTTGTACCGTCTTAAAGAAGCGACTTTCCATTTTCCTAAACTTCCACAGCAGTCCTGTCTGGATGACTATTCTGCTTCATCTTGTATCTATGACAAAAAAATTTAAACACCTACTGGATTTTATTGCTGTGGTTGTTGTTGCTGTTCTTGGTGTAGTTTGAGATGTGATTATGCGGGTAAATCTAGCCAGTCTCGGACCGGATGCAGTGACTGAGAAAGTACCTGTCACATGTGCTGAATATGTCGTCACAACTAAAGTATACGAATATTCAGATTGAAGAGTAGCTCTGAGATTGAATTGTAAGTGGCCTTCATCATCATCATTATATGCCAGTAAATTTGAAGAGGGATCGGAAGGATCGAAGTTGGTAGTGTACATAGAGCCATAAGAGTCAAAGTCGCTTCGACTTTGGAAACTATAACTGCCAGCCACGTCCACATTGACGAGAATAGCTTCATAGTAGTGATCAAATACAGAGCAGCCATCACGACAATACATTTGGCTATCTGTAGTCAGTATCCCATTGTATGTTGATAGTTCGATTGGTATCGTTGCTGCCAAGTGAAAGAAAAGAAAAAATAGAGATCTTATTGACGCTAAGAATTTTAAAAAAATGAATGTAGAAATGCATAAAATAGGCTTCAAGACTACTCCTAAAGTACGACATATAGAACATTGATACAATATCCGAAGATTTTTATGACTTAAAGCTGTCTTATGCCAAAATTCGATCAATATGATCATAAAAAGGGACTTTCTCAAGTGAAGATAACCATCAGTCACCGACAGTTAAGTGCTTTCATAATAAATTACCGGCAAAATGAGAAATCAGGTGGCTCAAATTTCTCAAAACTTCCAGTAATAGGCTAATCGAATTCAGAATCGAGGCTAGAAATTTAGAAAAATGAATCACTTTCACTCTTGAATATTTCTTCGATGTTGTTGTAAATTCATTTTCATATCTAAAAATATCACACATTCTTCTAAGTATGTGCCAATCTATAAGAAGCGTCATCCAATTCTCTAATGTATGTGATGAAAAAACAAAACACTGACTGTACAAAAATAGTCATTTTATAGCTAAATTCTGCCACCAAGATTGGCAAGAGCGTATTTTTGCTATCTTTCAATACGTATTATTACTTAGTCACTGATGGTCGTAGATGCTAAACTACAAATAGCCCACTTTTTTCTCGATGAAAATACTAAAATTTGTGCTGTTTGAAGAAAAAAACTTTTTCTTCTTCTCTAAGGCATACTACTTCATAGTATATACACTCTATTGTAGTCAAAACAAACTATTTCATCAAAAGACTGGCGAATAATTGTTTGATAATTTGTAAAACAGTGACTGCCAATTAAAGTAGTCTTTCTTGAACGATTATTATGCTTCATGACGCAGCTATAACGAAAAAATTTAAACACCTACTGGATTTTGTTGCCGTGGTTGTTATTATTCTTACTGCAGTTTGAGAAGTGAGTACGCGGGCAAAGCTAACGAGTGTCGGACCGGATGCAATAAGTGAGAAAGCTCCTGTCACATGTGCTGAATACGTCGTCACAACTAAAGTATACGAATATTCAGATTGAAGAGTAACTGTGAGATTGAATTGTGAGTCGCCTCCACCATCGTCATTATATGCCAATAGATTTGACGAAGGATCGAAAGGATAGAAACTGGTAGTGTAGATAGAGCCGTAAGCATCGAAGTCACTTTGACTTTGGAAACTATAACTTCCAAACGTGTCCACACTGACGAGAACAGTCTCATAGTAGTGATCAAATAAAGAGCAGCCATCACGACAATACATTTGGCTATCTGTAGTCAGCATCCCATTGTACGTTGATAGTTCGATTGGTATCGTTGCTGCCAAGTGAAACAAAAGAAAAATTAGAGATTTTATTCATGCTAAGAATTTCAAAAGAATGAATGTAGAAATGCATAAGACAAGCTCTAACTCTATTTCTTACAATTCTGATATAGAAAACTTTGATAGAATTTTCGAAGATGAAGCTGCCTTATTTGAAAACACTACTTCTCAGATCGGCGAAAGTGTGTTATGTTCACAACTTCAATCAAATATCATTACTCTCACAAACGTTGATGTCTTACTTGTTTCGATACTTGGCCAATGAGATGATAATCGAGTAAGATTTATAAATGAAAAGCCACTTGCTATAACTGAGAAATTTCCGATAACATTCGGAGAGAAAGTAGTGATAAC